GTTCAAGTAGTTCTATTCAAGTTCAGTTTTTAGTAACTTCCTCTTTTACTTCTTTTATTTTAAATTTTTCTATTTTTACCATCATATTTTACTTTCTCGACATTTCCATTTTTGCTTCTAATTTATTATTTAACTTATATCTCTAATTTTACTAATTCACTTTGGATTTCACAAATATTTACTATTTCTTGTTCAGTTAATTTGCCTTCTCTCATTAATCTTTTTTTACTCTTTCGGGTAGATTTTATTTAGCCATTCTTGGGCTGTTGTCACATTTTTTTAAATCAAGGATTAACTTCAATTTGGGATGATAATTCAACTTCTTTTTTTAACTTTATTAACCCGGCTTGCTTTTGGCAAATTTCCTCTATTTCCTTTTCACTAACTTTGCCACTTTGTAACAATTTTTGCTTAAACTTGGCTAACTGTTTTTGAGCGTAAGAATTGCTATTTTCGGTTGCCTCGCGATGGGCCTCTAATAATTCTTCTACTAACTCAATTTCATCTACTTTCAACTTAATTTTAATATCTTTAATTTTGTCGACTAACTCGGTTTCTTTTTTTTGTCTTATTTCGGTCCGATGACTTCCTACTTTCTCTTTTAAACTTTTATTTTCCAACTCTAATTTTCCAATTGTTCTAGTTAGCCTCTCAATTTCTTTTTCATCATGATTAGTTCGTTCCCGAAGAGTAAATAATTCTTGTTGAAGTCCCCTTTTCTCTTTGTCATTTTCTCTATCTAATAATTGCCCTTGAAGATTTTCAATAGTAGTCTGCAATTCAGTAATTATTTCGTTGCGAAAATCCATGATTTCTTTCATGTTTTTTTCATTTTCCATTCTCTCAGCTAATTCTCGTTTTTTGGCTTCTAATTCACTTTTTAAACTTTCTACTATTCCTTTCTTAAAACCATTTTCAGAACCAATTTCTTCTCACTTATCATCCACTTTACATCATTTTTCCTGACCTATTTTTTCTTTTCATTCGGCTCGGAATCTTTGGCAATCAGCCGCCGTATACCTCCGATCTAATCTCAACTGCCAATCATATCTTTCCATTAACTCTCAGACATAAAAAATCAAATAAACCCCACAATCATAACTATTACTCTGCCGACTCGGAGTAGAAATCACTTCCACCTTGGCCTGGGGATTAAACTTTTTGAGAAATCCTTCTATCCGTTCCACCTGCGTTTTATTGCTCTCTTCTTGTGAAGAAGAAACATAATAAAAATCATTTCCTCCACCACAATCAATAAGCAATCCTCAATGGTTTCCGTTGACTCGCAAAGGTAAAAAAGTGTACATAAATTTATCTAAATTAAGTTCTTTAACAAACCCCCTTATCTCTTCTTCGCTCTTGTTTTTTTCATAATGAAAATAGATATTAGCGATGTCAGTACGAACTTGAATACTGGTTCGCTGTTTAATTGCTTCCTGAATTCTTTCGTGATTATTAAGGATATAAGTAATGTTGTCGTCAGTTAACCATCCGCTATCAATCTTTTTTTCATCTATATCTACTTCCTTCAGAGAAGGGTCGCTAACAAATGACTGCCTAATGGCTTCTTGTTCCGCCATGTCTTCAACTACATCTGTCAACTCTTGAACTAAATTATCTTGATACATGCTCCTTAAATTTTCTATTTCGGTGCTATTAAGAGGATTTTGATGATTATAGTCAAATGTTTTAATAAAAGAGATAAAAGCAAAATCATCAGGTTTAAATCCCATTTTTATTCAATTGCTTACTTCTTCATAATTAAATCCTTCGTTTTCTCATTTTTGTTGTAGTTCGGTATTAAATTCCGTGCCTATGTCTTTTCAGTCTACCATAGTGTTTTTGTTATATTATTTGATTAGTTCTTACTTTCCCATGGCACCAGAATTTAAAAGGATCGCCTTCCGGACAAAAGTGAGAAAACAAGAACCTATGATTTCAACTTTTACTCCAACCTTATCATCTATATAGATACTTTATTATAATAAGTATTCTATAATATTAGTTTTATGTATATCTTCTGAACACCTGCATAAATTTAACTTAGTTTCTTAGTTTCTTTTTGCTTACTACTCAAATTGAGTTCACAAAAGAAAAAATAATTAATTTATGATAATCATTGCTCTGGAAACCAGTTGCGACGAAACAAGTATCGCCATTTTAGAAAATAAAAAAGTTCTTAGCAATATTACTATTTCCCAAGTATTAGAGCAAAAAAAGTATGGCGGAGTAATGCCAAGTTTGGCGGCGAAATTACACATCAAAAATATTCAAAAGGTTTTGTCTACTGCCTTGCTCAAAGCGAAAATTACTCCCGAAAAAATTGACTACATTGCTTATACGGAAAAGCCAGGACTGATTATCTGCTTACAAATCGGCAAAATAGTGTCTGAAACACTTTCTTTATATCTCAACAAACCGATTATCCCCAGTAATCATTTGGAAGGGCATATTTACGCTAGTTTAATAAATAAAGAAGAAGAATGAGAATTTCCTGCTTTAGCACTGATTATCAGCGGCGGTCATACGCAGATTTACCAGTTAAATAGTCATTTTGATTTCAACCTTTTAGGAGAAACTTTGGATGATGCGATTGGTGAATGCTTAGATAAATCTGCTATCTTATTAGGTTATAATTATCCAGGTGGCCCAATTATCGAAAAACTAGCCTTGGCGGGAAAAAATACTTATCAATTGCCTTTACCGAAAAATGATGAAACTTTAGACTTTAGTTTTAGTGGCCTAAAAAGCGAAGTAGGAAGGATAGTAAACAAAGAAAAAGAAAATAAAAAATTAAGCGTTAATAATTTGGCTTGTTCCTTGCAATTTACTTTGGCAGAAATATTAGCCAAAAAATTAAAGAAGTCTTGACTAAATAGTCGGGCACAAACTATTATTATTGGTGGCGGAGTAATTGCTAACCAATTCTTAAGAAACTATTTGACGAAAAATATTCAAAAGTGGGATAGAAAGATAAAAATATTTATTCCGGAAATTAAATATTCGACTGATAACGCAGCCATGATAGGAATATTGGCCTATTTAAAGTGAGAGAAAAAGTGAAAGGGAATTGGCTAATAATTGAATTGGAAAAACTTAAAAAATTTGGTAAATAAAATGGAAGCAAAAGTTAAAGAATGAAAGGCTATAAAAGCCAAATTTGAAAGTAATA